TCCGCGTAGTCAGCTGAGGGGTCCAGCCCCGCGGCCGTCTGCCCCCCCCACCTCCCCAGCCAGGAGTGCCCAGAGCGCTGCCCTGGGCTGGGGCTTTGGGCAGGGCAAGGGCACAGTAAGCCCTGAGGGGCTGGGCTCAACCCGGGGGCTTTTACGGAGTCCTTCGCGCACAGCCCCTTGCTGGACATTGGGGCTTGCCCCCCCCACCTCCCCAGCCAGCAGTGCCCAGAGCGCTGCCCTGGGCTGGGGCTTTGGGCAGGGCAGGGGCACAGTCAGCCCTGAGGGGCTGGGCTCAACCCGGGGGCTTTTACGGAGTCCTTCGGGCACAGCCCTTTGCTGGACATTGGGGTCCAGCCAGCTGGGAAGGGCACCTGGGCCTCTGCCACTGGTGGCACCTGCCACTGCAGGGACCAGAGTGAAGCAGGGAAAAGGAGTCGTCCTTGTGCTGCTGGTCAAGTCTTTAACAGGCTCCAGCATATTGACAGCAGCGGTGCCCAGGCCACCACTGCCACCTTCCAGTCCCTGCCTGCAGCCCTGGGGCACGGGTCTGTTCTGCCCCCTTTGACTGCCAACACCCCAAACCCTGACACACTGTGTTCAGTCTGGCTTGTCAGCCCCAGGCGCTGCTCGCGTTGCTTTTGGGTCATTAGCTGCTATTAAATAGTTAAAATTGTCCAGTAATTTGCGCTCATTGGTATGGAAATGACCTGTCCTTGCTATTATCTGCACGCTTGACATGTAAGATATTGGTCATCAGGGTGTTTATAATTGGCTCCCTTGTCAAAGTGTACACTAGACCTGAGGACAAGCTGGGCTGAAAGAGCAACTGTGGCTCTATAGGCAGAAAGGTCCTGCGCGCTCAGGCTGAGCTCGTGCTGCCTCCAGAGGCTGCATGGGCTGGTGCTGCCTCAGTTACACCTGGGCACATACCAGATTTTGGGGAAAACTGTGTTTTAAATCGAAGCGAACAGCATGGCTGTGTGTGACTGTGCAAGAGCAGCTGTGGGAGGACCAGTCCTGCTTGTCCCTCGCACTGGAGGCTGCCGGGATAGCGCCCGTGGTCTGTGGTGGTGCAAACCTGCAGGACAGACATGTCAGTCACAGCACACTGCAGTGTGACTGTTGTGCAGGGGGATGTACAGCGTGACCTCTATGTTGTGAGGTGGTTGGGTATCTAGACAGAAGAATTAAAAGCAAACCAACAAACAAAACCACCCTAACACACCAGTACCGCTGGTCTTCAGGGCTAGTGACGCTGTTATGAGCATCCCTGAGCACTGCAAGTGCGGTTATAGTTAAGGCTGTGTCCTAGCGTCCATTGCAACTTCCAGGAATTTAGGGAAAAAAGTGACTAAAAGGCGCAGGGGAAGCATCAGCTGTTGGCGTGGGGCTCAGCGAGACGGCTGGAGCCTCGTGGCCGTTTAGGGCTCCTGGGCGCCGCTTGGGCGAGGGGCTGGGCCGGGTCTCGAGCAGCCGCGTGTCGAGCAGCCGCGTGTGCGTTGAAAGGGCAGATGTCAGCGCTGGGAAGCCCTGTGGAGCCTGGTTAGTCGTGAAGCCTGTGACCCACCGCCCTGACACCCCCAGGAAGGCGCCAGCTCGCTCGGACCTGTCCTGAGCTGGTGGCGATGGACGGGGGCGGGCAGAGCCTTCCTGAATGAAGCTGCGTTGGAGACCCGCGGCAGCGCGTCCGGGCTGGGAGCCTCCCGCAGCGGCAGCTCCCGCGCGGGGCCGGCAGCGCAGCGGAGCTGGGGGGGGCAGCGCGTTCCAGCCGCCCTCTGGGAACCCCCGAGCGGCCAAGGGGGTTGTCTGAAACCCCAACCCCGCGGCCAGCCCAGCCGCTGACGCCGGGAAGAGGAGACGGAGGCAGGAGGAAAAGGCTCCGGTCCTTAATGACAGGTTGTGGGTGAGGAAGGAAGCACAGCGGCTCTGCAAGCTCCGCGGGTACCTGCAGCGCCAGAGGGCCTCAAAGCGCAGGATCAACTCGGAAACGTGTCGGAGGCCTCGGGCTGCTCCCGCTCCTCCCCAGGGCCGGGGGCAGGAGGCTCCGCGCGCTCGCGGCCCGGCTCTGCCTGCAGGTTGGCTCCGTCCTGCGAGTCACCGCAGAGCCACAGGGCCCCGCGGGAGAGGAACGTGGCCCGAGCGCCACAGGGTGCCTTGACAATATTTATTCATAAGTTACATTAAACATAAATAACTGAGCAATAAATAGTCTGTTTCTGACAAAAATAAATAAGGCAATACACAATATTCATAAAATACAGTTAGACAGACTGTTATCATAACAAATACAACAGTTTGCAGAGGTTAGTTTTTCTTTTTTAAGAGAGTAGAGGTGTACAGTACATACCCAACATACCAAAGAAAATAGTGCAGCTGTATTTTTTACACCGTTCCTCAGGCTCTGTGAGTTGGAGGGTTTTCCTTGCTCTTACGATATTTCTTGAACTCCTGTGCCACGTGCTCTAGGTGACCCTGCGTGTGCAGGGGGTTGGACTAGGTGACCTCTAGAGGTCCCTTCCAACCGTGAGCATTCCGTGATTCCGTGAACTACTGCCTCAGTTCACCGGGAAGTGACAGACCCACAAGGCGAAGCCTTTGAGACTCTTCAGGGACCATGCAGGGCCCTGGAAAAGCTGCACACACACGTGCACACACACACACACTCATGCATACGCACATGCTCACAGGCACACGTGCACACACTCACACACATGTGCACACACACGTGCATGCACACACACTCACAGGCATGCACACGCGCACATGCATACCCACGTGTGCACACACAGGCACACACACACGCTCACAGGCACACATGCTCACAGGCACATGCACACACACATGCTCACACATGTGCACACACATGCACATGCATGCACTCACACATGTTCACACACATGCACACACACACACACACACACGTGCACAGACACACACCCACCTGCTCACAGAACTGCAGGGCCCGGCGGCCCCGTCCTCAGCGCGCCCTGGCCTGGAGCGGCTCCGGTTCCTGCGGCTTCTCTCCTCCTGCGCCTGCCCCTGCTCTTCTCTCAGCACTAGGGCCCTGCCCAGGAAGGGGGGTCCATCCAAGCAGCCTCCCCTGCAGCCCCTCTTGCAGAAGGGGCCGGTGCCGCCGCACAACGGGCTCCTCTAGGGCAGGGGGCACGAGGCTGCAGGGACGCGCTGACCCTCCGGGGCGCAAAGGAAGACAGAGCTGGGGTAGCTGGAGTTACTTCTGTTTAACCCACCCCTCAGATTCTGAGAGACAAATTACAGCGCTTCACTGTTAAGCCTCAGCCTCAACTCCGTGGCCGGGTCTGACCAAGCACAACGTGTGCAGCCAGGCTGTTGCAGGTGCAGTAGGTCACAATACAAATGTTCCAGTGGGTCAAGTCAACAGTGTCGCAAACGCGTAAATAGGCAGTTTTCTAGATAAAGGGAAATAAGAGAATGCAAAAAAAATTGGTCTTGAAATACAAAGTGAGTGTAACAAGGACTATCAAACACAAACTATATCTGGTGAGGGAAAAGTTCCGTTTTTAAAAGTCTATTACAAATCTCTTAAATATTTGTTACATGGAAGATGCAATTAAAACAACATTTTGAAGTTCCAGTGCAAGAAATGCTCCATCCCATAGCTCACAACAAGGCCGCAATGACAGTCTGCTCTTTATCACTTATTTTCGATCAGTGTCTGCACTTTGTAGACTAGGTCTCTTGCTATCCTCAGGATTTCCTGGGCGTTATGATGCTCAGCCATTTCTAAAAGACACAGACAAACATTCTTAGCTGGCAGCTTCAGGAACTGTTCTGCCCTAGCAGTAATATTAATGTAGTATTAGCATTATTTAGTTAGGGTAATGTTAGAATACAAAATCATTGCATGAATTTAGACTGGCAGAATTAAGTTAATGATGTAGGTCTGTGGGTCTTAGTCCTTTTGGTTCAGCTCTTACGCTGCAGAAAATCCCAGTGCCCCATAATCAGAAGAGGATGGAGGGTTCTGTACCCGCACGTGCTTGTGAACAGCCCTCCTGGGCTCCCAGAAATGCAAAGCTGCAGCACCCAGCTTGATCAAGGGATGTCCCTCAAGGCAGGGGCTATGGCTGGAGTGCCTGAGAAGCAGGTGGTAACAACACTTGGTTCTACACAGGCCAGCGCTTGCTTCATCATAGAACATCTACCATCTTCTGTGGTCCACACAGCTTCACAGCACGGCTCTTTGCACATGCCAATCAGACCTTCGAGAAGAAGGTGAAGGTCTGGAGAAGGCACCGTGACCGAAGGAGTAGGAGACACCCAGCTTCACAACCCGGGGCTGGTCTGGCGGCGGGTGCCAGGACCTGAAGCGCAGCAGCCGGATGCCTGGCGCCTGCTGCCCACGTCAGAGAGCAGCGCTGCAGGCAGCGCCGCAGGGAGCGGGGGACGCAGCAAGCTCGGGTTAGCGGCTTTCTAGCAAAATGACTTTCTTAAAAGTTTCTTACCATTAAAAAACTTGATGATATCAGTGAAGTCCATGTTGTTATCACGGATAATCTCTCGATAAACCTCTACAAGTGCTAAGGCAATGAAAAGGACAAAATGTTCTGAAGAGATGTGCTTTGCTGCCCAAATAACTTCCCACACCGTAAATACATCCTCGTACAACAATTCTGAATGGGAATAAACATTACAAGAGCATCTGATTATTCAAACTGACCATTTTCCCCCACCGCCACAGCTAGTGCCTTACAGGCCTTATGCAGAAATGAACAGTACTTGACATTGCCTCCTTCCTTCCTTCGTTCTCCCTTTCTCCTCCAAGTGAAATCCTTGCACTTACTTGTGCAAGTATAGCTACAGAATTAGGTTTAAAGGAAAATCAAGAGAGAACATAGGTGTAGTGTTTACACCTGACCCTAGAGGGGATGCCTAAACTACAGTGATAGCAGCACGGATAACCCGATTTATCCTAGCCAGGATTCCAGGGCAGGCTGTAGATCTCGGTGCATTTCCAGGGCACCTTCCTTTGCAGTGAACCCGTGAGGGCAAAGGCTGGGCTATTTGTAGTTGCACACAGTTGATTCGTAGGGAGGATGTGTATAGATTACACCTGTACTGCTGCAATTCAGGTATTGCCCATGGAAGCTTCATTTTTCTGAACTATCTAGGCTCATCTTCCGAAGTCTTTGACAGTACAGTCCAGGAGAGCAGGATATGGGGAAATTCACAGTGGAAGAGTGGGTAGAGGATTTACGATTCAGTCCCAGTTGCTTTACCCCTCTCACTGTCTGATAGTCTTTTGTAGTAACCAGCAGGTGGGTGTACATCATTCCCTCTATCACCTTGTGTCTGAGAAGGATCTCTTCAACCAATGATTACAATCAGCTGCTTCCATTAAATATAGGCTCACAAACTCTCTTGTGAGCCTAGCTTTTACTCACCCCCCCAGACATTTAACTGCAACAAAGAGCTACTCAGGCTTGCACAACTCTAGGTTACAGACACAGATCATTATTACCTCTTTTAAAGTCAAGCAGGAACCAGCGATAGCAGAAGTAGAAGTGAGTGTAATCTCCATTCTGATGCATCAATTCAAAAAGCTCTGAGTCTAGGATCTAAAATGAAAAACATGAGGTGTCAGGATCTCATCTGAGAGTAGCCAAACCAAAGGTGTTGGAAGCTGACAGACTTCCATGCTGCTCCTTCATCACTTGATCCTGTAGTTAGTCGGAGCAGCTGCTTAGCACAAATCTGGTTTTTATTCTACATTTGCAAAATGCGTGAGCTGTGGGTGCCCTGACACAGACCGAGGAGGTGACAGGTTATCTCCCATCACAGCAGTCAATCCAAACTGTGACAGCAAAGTTCCAAGCAACAAGTTAAAGATCCTAATGATTTTCAGCTAGCAGCAAATTTCAGCTGGCTTTGTTTTATACCAAACCTGACTCCTCATGTCACCCAAACTAAGAGGTAGTGATGGCAGGCCAGATACAGAGCAACATAATCACATAAATGCAATTGCAGGATTAGAATTGACTTCGCCAGCAACTGATAATCACACAGAAACTTCCAAATTGCACTCGAGATGATTTCAAATAATAATTAAATTCATACAACTACCTGGAAGCACTGTTAAAGTCTTCTTCTTCTGTTGTAATTATTATCACATAGGTACTTTACAAGTGGGATAACGTAACAGCAGTTAGTAGGTACTGTATTTCAACCAGTTATAGATACCCATCAACAAGATAGGGAGAGTGTCAAGCAATCTGCTGAAATTTAACCCTTAGTAAATCCATGCCCTTGTTCTGTAAAGTTGTGCTTGTAAGTTTGCCAGCCACACCATCAAAGCTGCACAGCAAATAACACTGAAGGAGCTAATCTGAGACTAGCAGACTATGATCATCAGTCCCCCTGTATTTGAATTCAGCTGGATAAAGAAGTGACTGAGCTCAAATGCATCATGTCTGTGCTGTGCACACCAGTGCAATCACACGCTCTGAATGGTTTCATTTTATTTTCCAGATGTGGGTGGAGGAGCGTGCGTCAGTCTCTTACAGGTCAGGTGTGTTACGCTGCATCACACAAAGAAGCCAGCTCAGCCAGAGGTCTAGAAATAAAGTCTTCTCGCCCTTCTTCATTCTAGGCTCATTCACCTGCCTACTGCTCTCTGGAGTGGAATTCCTAGACCTTAAATCCATCCAGAAATACCTTTCAGCAAGCATTCTGCATGAATACAAATATAGCTGTGGTCTATTTGAGCCCATAATAACGTTTGTGCCACAAAAACCTCTATTTCCTCTACCAAAAAGCAATATAATACTGGATCTTGCTGCTATTTTCCACTGATTTCAGCTGGAGCTGGACTGAGTCATAAATGTGAGTCATTATGTAGCGTAGCTGCTACCGTGGAGGGAGGTTTGGATGTTTTGTCTGTCGAGATGAACTGAACGGCTTGGATACATCCCAGCTGAGTATTACCCCAGTACCTGGAGTTCCTGCCTTTCCCAGTGGCATAAAGCTAGTTCTAAGCCTCTGTCCCAACTTCATCTTCTCTCCAATAAGGTTCAAAGAGACTCACTTGGATTAGGGATCGCATGTTGGCAAAGTGTGTGTCCATAGCACCTCCATTGGGGAAGTTCTGGCTCATCCTCTTCATGAGGTGGCTGAAGCAGCTGTAAGCCAGTTGATCTGCAGATACAACGCAGAATGCCTCAGTGTTGCCAAACACGGGGCTTCCCGACAAGTCATGTACTGCAGGGCCAGGGAAAAACAGGTTTTTCCCTTTGTTGTTCTCTATCCCCATGACCAGTATTTAGATGAAACAAAATACAGTACCTAATTCTGGACCCTTTCTTGCTAGTTATGTTTCAAAAGAACCCAGCCTGAGTTAGAATTTACAGCTTCAGCAACCATGGACACATTGATGCTTGGCAAATTTTGTACAATTTAATACAGAATTCACTGAGCAACGAGTGAATCCCTGACAGAACTAGTTAGCCACTTCAACAAGTCACATGTAAAGCAAGCATGAATGAAGCATTGCAGGTTTGTCTTTCCTGGTGAGCTAGCTTTGGTGTAAATACAACTTCTTCTGAAACAGCATTTCTAAAAAAGATCTCCCTTAAAAATATCAAAGTTACAAAAGAAAAGCCTTCCTACCATTGTCCAGTATCACCATCAAAGGAGCCAGTAGGTCACACATGCCCTGAACATAACCAACTTCCAGGTGCTCCCAAACGTAACTGCAGAAAAAAAGAAAACAGAAGAGCTAATAGGATGCTTAATTTTAAAAATCTCCTTGCTGTATGCTTGTCTCAAAAATTTGTCTTGCACCTCAAATCCAGCTCCTTTTGGAAGCTTTTAAAGTGTCCCATTCTACAGTGTTGCAGAAGATTTAAACTTAAAATTCTAGCAAACTTAGACAAGAGGTTGGTGAATTTGATCCTGCTCAGTAGATGTCCCTCTACTTCTGAGCACCTCAGAATTATTGCCATCTTTATAGCACCCCATCAGAGCATGCATATATGATCCTCATGTACAGGAAACCACAGCTATTAATACACTAAGAAAACAGCTTAGTTTACAAGGTATATTACCTGCACATGACATTCCGGAGTTTCTCCAGGTTATCAGCAGTAAAATACCAGTAATTCCGATCACATCTCTGGACATCTTTATCAATTCTGTGCAAATTTAAGGCAACAGTGTCCAATAATTCTATCTAGAAGAGAAAACTCTAAGTCAGAACTGCTTGACTCTAAGTCAAGAACAGACTCTAAGTCAGAATAACAAAAGTTGTTTCTTAATATTTGGGTGAAATAACAGGCAGGCTGCTAAATCTTTTGTAATGTATTCTGAAAATTTTAGATAA